TCATGATATCTGTTTAATATATTTATTTTATTTGCTTATGACTTAATAAGTGGTCTTGCAAGTTGTAGGACCAGAATTTCTGGCTTTTCATCCTTCACATACTTGGTATACAGTACCTGTAATACATGGGCACAATTGGCATTTTTGGCTGTATCCAATTCAACTTATATGTCATAGGGTGAATTTTGACCATGTTAGCTAGTACATAGTTGATTACTGTTCTTTTCTCTTGATTTTTAGATCTGAACAAGTTGATGGGGTTTTTTTCTAATCTCCTGAGAGTTTAGTCTGGTACTGCATATCAGGAGAATGCATGTTGGAAAAATGAGAGAACAACAAGAGTAGCTGAACATTTCTAATCATTTCATCTATAGTTGCCCTGCATCATAACAGCTATTTTCCTTTTAAAATGCTTTGCAGAAAGGTTCTCTGTCAAGAGGCAAGTCAGTAAGGAGCTATGTGTATTCATTAATCACCCATGTACACATGCCCTCATACTTGTGTATGAGACTGACAGGAGAGAGGAAAAGACAAAAAAAAAGCAAATGCAATGTATCCTGGTGGTTTTAAAATAGGCTGTTAACGACTCTTGGTCATAGTAAAATAAAATATTTTTATAATAAATGCATTCCAATTGCAATTACAGAGCATATGTCAGCAATAACTCCCAAGAGCTGGCTCAAAAATGCATAGCAGCCACAAAAAAATTTGAATTCTTTGTAAGAAATGGAGTAGCTATGCAGTCAGGTTATGAACAGATATAAATTGTGGCTGTTTGTACACTAGTGTTAGCTGTTTTTCCACAATGCTAAGGGCCAGTATCTGAAAGTGAGACAGATGGCCTGTGGTAGATCTAAAGCGCCATTCACTTGAAAGTTTCTGTTGTAGAAGTGAAAAACAACAGTTAAACTTAAGACTAAATAGTTTTTTTGATTGGGCTCCTAGAGAATAATAGTGCTTTTGTATAATACTTGAAATGGAGCCTACAGCCATCCCAAACAAAATAGTCTGTTAAGATCTTGGAAATAATGACATCATAGGCAGATTGAAGCAGCGATCCTTTAATAGTGTCCTTTGTAGAAAGCTGTCTCAGAAGAGGACCTGACTTAGTAAATTGGTATTCTTTACAAACATGACATAATAGGATTCTCTCTTTCTACGTTTATGGAAGAGTACAAGATACCTCCCACTTGGGAAAAAATACATTAACAGTAAGGCTTCCTTGTGAATGCCTCCCCTTTCTCCACTGTTTTCAAAAGCATGCTTTGAAGCACTTGGTTTGAAGTTGGATTAACCATGTCAAGAAGATAATTTTTGTTTGTACTGTATAAAACTTGACAAAGAGCTGAAGTAGTAGCAAGATAATTCAAACAAAATAAAATCTGTAAAGTTGACACAGATGAAGAGTGTTTAGATCATGCTTTATGTTCCCAGTGTGCAACTGGACGTTCATTCTTCAGTGTCATGTTCATCTCCGTAAAGGGTTATTCTAACCCCTCTGATGATGTCCTGATGAGGCTAATGAAGCTAAAAGCCAACTAAAACCATTGCGATTTGTTGAGAAGTAGAAAGTTGTCCACAGAAGCTCAGTTCCCTGTAGAGCTCCTGGGATATCACGCTGTGTCCGTGGGTTTGAAATTTGAGTTGTAGATTTGTAGTACAGCATAGAGGAGTTTTGCTTGGGTTTTCTATCCCAAGTAGTCCGTAATCCTCAACCTAAAACTTATCTGGTCCGATAGCATCAAGGTCATCAGGTAGCCCGAAGAGAAGCAGTACATAAGCGTGCTTCCTTGTTTACATAGTGTAATTAGGACTGTGTAAATAGGTGTGGACGCCACCCCTATTTCTCAAGAACAAAGGAGCTCAGTATTTTAAACTTTGTAGTTGCCCTAGAACCCTTGTTGTCTTAGACTCTTGCCTTGTTATGCAAGATCAGATCTGTTCTAAAGAGGGCCGGCTTGTCTCTCTGACTTCTGTCATATCAAGTTAAGTAATGTGTCATCAGAAAACATGTATCACCTGGAAAATTGTAGCGCTTTATCTATGTGGGACACAGCTTCCCAGAAATCTCTCTTGGTATTGCTGTTTAAATACTCAGGTCCTGCCCAGCAACTTTCACACTTAGTTTTTTTAATCAAGCTAGATGTTGCATATCTGAGATTTTTGTAGTAATAACTTCACATTTAGACATTAGTATCAAACTCAGAACAGTTTCATACCAAATTCTTCCCAGTGGCTAAATGAAAACTATGAGCTGGGACATTAAAATATAATGCCACTGGTGAAGTCAATCTTTTCTGAAAAAGAGTAAATTTCGAAGGACCAAAGGTCTAAATGCAAAAGAGAATGTGGTTCATTAGCCCTATTTTCACATGTGTCTTACAATAATCACTAGTAGCATTAGCATGTGTATACATTTCACCTTTACTTCAGAGTTATTTTTTCATTGTACCTCATGCTGTACTTTCACTTATACAGGCCACCTGGGGCTTATCAGGTCATTGGTGGTGATGACAAGACATTTATTACCAGGTGCTTTCACCACAATGATTACTGAAAAGATGCAGAATTGCTCTTAATTCATTAAGATAATGCAAGGCATGGCAAAGCAAAAGAAAACAAATCTGTGCAAATGAAGATCAGGCCAATCGTTGGGAACTGGCAGCCACCCAACAGAAAAAAAAAGTTATTATTTAATACCTATTCCTTTTTGTTTGTTGTTTGACCCTTTCCTATATTTATATAATAAATTTTAGTTAATTTTCACTCATCATTACCTTCTTTCTCATTCCTCTCCAGCTCTGGATGAAACTCTTCTTCTCATCCAGTCTCCATAATTTCATGTTTTCTTTTTGTGTGTAGCTCACTGATTTTAATTAAAGTCTCTTTCTGAGGTGTAAGAGGGCAGTTATTTACCAGAGCAAGCACAACTTATAAGTGGTTATACCACTGATGAAAAGGCTAGCCCCTCCCCCAACAACCTAAGATTGCCAGAAGTCCTCAGGGAGGGAGTGGTGTTTCATGGACAGTATATATTGATTGAATTTACAACATAGGGAAAATATTTTAAAATTTTATTACCATATATTACTATACAAAATAATTTCATTATGATATTTGATACATGTACATAATGTACTTTGACCATATTTACCCCTTTCTTATCTTTCATCATCCCTTTTTCTGGTTCTCCTCCTTGTTCTAAGCATCTCTTCTGCTTTAGTATACTTTAGTTAATCTGTGTTTTGCATGTGAGAGAAAACATAATATCTATCTTTTGTAGCCTATCTAATTTCATTTATTTTGTTACTTTTCAGTTGCATTCATTTTTCTACAAACAGAATTTCATAAAACATAGTAAAAACTTTAAATTCTCCTCATATGATATGATTCAGAGATAATTATTAAAAACAATAAAAGCACTATGACCACTAAAGCTAAAAGGAACTATGGCAAAATGTGTCTTTGTTTGTTTTGTTTTTTGAGACAGAGTTTCTCTGTGTAACAGCCCTAGCTGTCCTGGAACTCACTCTGTAGACCAGGCTGGCCTCAAACTCGGAGATGCCCTTGTCTCAGCCTCCCAAATGCTGGAATTAAAGGTGTGTGCCACCTCTGCCTGGCAGCAGACCATTTCTTATTCCAACAGTTAATGGGGATACTCTGTTATTGCTGTGCTTATGTTCACTTACAGTAAATGTCCTTTTCATAGAGTGACATGGTAAGTTGTATTTGGAGAATTAATACATTTCTAAATTAATATTAAATAACACTAGATAAATTTGTAGAGATTCTATTGTAGCTATGTTTGATTTTTCTTATATTCTAACTGTGAATTAATTCCAAAACCACTTTTTGGACCTGGCTTGTGCCTGTGAGGTTCAACTCCTATAAGAGAAGGACTAGAATTAGAAAAAGAGGATACTTGGACATAACCATACTTTTTCTCCTTCATCCTGAGTTGGATGAAACATGAATGTGCTCAGATTTTTGCAATAAGTGCCTAAATAAGTGAAATTTATAGTAAATAATAAATTCCTAAAACCTAGACTAGATTTTACAGCCAAAGTCCCTTTCTGGGACATGAAATATGACAGGGTAAAATTATGACATCTCCTCTCGGTGCTTGAGCTCTGCCTTTGATCATAATGGCATTCTGCCTACCTTTTTTGGTTACTTGCTTGGGAAAAGATGGGCATTGTGTGCCAAGACAGTATACGACAACTTTCCTGAAACTGTCATGTATATAGAAAGCTTTCTCTATTTTTAAATAATAAAAACAGCAGAAATCGGCCGGGCGGTGGTGGCGCACGCCTTTAATCCCAGCACTCGGGAGGCAGAGCCAGGCGGATCTCTGTGAGTTCGAGGCCAGCCTGGACTACCAAGTGAGTTCCAGGAAAGGCGCAAAGCTACACAGAGAAACCCTGTCTCGAAAAACCAAAAAAAAAAAAAAAAAAACAGCAGAAATCACTTTGCAAATTAGGTACATAGAAGTAAGAAGCAGACACCAAGACATGCCAGTGTTAAATCAGCTAATAAATTGTGGTTGTGGGCCATTGACAATCAACATCTAAGTCTGTGTCAATTTTCAAGTCTAAAATGTTTGTGCCACTTGAACATTATAATCATCAGCATAGGGTCCTTAAAGAAAAAAGTCTGTAAATTGTTTATTCAGAGATTGTTCATTCAGAGACTGTGTATGGACAACAGAAAGTAGAGTGGGAAAATCAAGGAAGCTTACACATTTGCATGTGTATATTGAAAGTCACTGATGACTGCATTTACCTCAGCTTTGATAAATTGTCTTGTTAGCCTTTGGAGAGGCAATTTTTTCTTTCCAGAAGAGGAACCTCTCAAAATACATAGGAAATCTGAATGAATGAATGAATGAATGAATGAATGAGAGAACAATGCTATTTCTAGGATGCTAGACTCCCCATGTGTACCACACTTGCATTAGACTTGACCTCCCTTACCTCCTGTTTGCCACTGCTTTCCTTTAGGAGCTGTGAAGTCAGCTGCAACTGAAAATGTCTGACAGCTTGGAGAACGAAGAAAAACCCCCAGCTCCCCCACTGAGGATGAACAGTAACAACCGTGATTCTTCAGCACTCAACCACAGCTCCAAACCACTCCCCATGGCCCCTGAAGAGAAGAATAAGAAAGCCAGGCTTCGCTCTATCTTCCCAGGAGGAGGGGATAAAAGTAAAGTATCAGTGGCCAGGCATTCAAAAGGGGCCAGTTTATTCTTTCCTTGTAACTTTCTTTCTTGGGTAGTCGCTTCTGGAACAATGGTTGGTCAGGACCTGCTTGACCTTTCCATCTACATCTTCAGAGGTTGCCTTTTGGCAGAGGATTACATTTGATTGACTTCCTCTGGGATAACAGAAAATACACATGCTGTGTTTGCCTCTCACATAAACTGGATTTATAGATTTAAGTGAAGGGAAATTATCACAAGAGCTCTGTATTGAGTGTAAAAACAGCAACTTGCTTTCTGAAAATTTAGTGTAGAATTTAAATCAATTCTTTCCTAACTCTAAGTTGTCCATTTTTGATATTTGAGTGTATAGGTAGATTTACTTATGTACATCTTTTCAGTAACTGAAGATATTGAGTTAAATATTTTGATTTTAGGTATACAGGAGTAAGTCCAAGTTACCATAATGTTGTCTGTCTGAGTCACAGGTAGGAAGGAAAAGTCCTTTGCTTCCTCTCTTCCTCTACCAGTTGTCACCTATAAAATCAATTTCATGTGCATGAAAGTCACAATATATTATCATTGACCCATGTGACCTTCATGATACAACTTGTTGCTTAAATAGCGTATGTTACCTCTTTGTGACACTTGGTTCTGTGAATTCTTTAGTAAGTAGCTTATAAAGTTGTTTTAATTACCATAAAGCTGAAACATGGCTCCTGTAGATATAACTCTTGAACAGGATGTGAGTAAAGTAAGCATAAGATCACTGACATTGGCCAAAATGGAAAGAAAGGTAATGTCTTTGAAAAAGAAAAGTCATTATTGATCAGTGTCTTCAAGGCAAAAAAAAGTAGTTTGGCATATTTATATAGTGTTAATGAACTTACAATTTGTATCATAAGAGCTGAAATTCTTGTTAGTAACTGTGTTGCCTCTTGTGTGTTTATAAGATGTTTTCCCCTCATGATCTATGAATTGAAGAGAAGTAAAAGAATAATGAAACACTTTCCACATAAGGGGTTTGTGACTTAAAAGGGGGAATTCTAAAAACATGTTTGCCAGTACTTAAGTGGATCTTGACAACTATTTTCTGAGAGTAAAGGGTGGTGTGAGAATTGAAGGCATGTCACTATCTAGAGATCAATTCATTTGTAATAGTGATGCCGAAGAAAGGATCCCTATACTACATCTGCTACATTTGCAGACAGTGGTTGAATAATGGATAGCTCAACACAAATCTTTGGGGCATGAAAGTGTATGCTTTTATTGTCTTTGAAAAGTCCTACTTGTCCTTTTGGTGAGCAGGAATTCAGCAAAATCAGTTGGCATTTCTCTTTTGTGTCAACAGTTCAAATGACCTCATAGTGAAACCACTGCTGTTCTCCAGAAAAGTATGCCCAAATCTTCTCAGGGGAAAAAATCTGAGCCAAATTTTTCTTGAACTGGCATGCAAACAGAAGAGCCTGGATGACTTCATCTCTTATTCAGGAATGGCTTGAACAGTGCTTTCTTAGAGAAATTCAAGACTACTTGAAAGAAAACCTTTAGTTCAAAAGTCCTGTTGATTCTTAGCATCCATTTGGTACTTCATATGCATTTGCCAATATGCACATATTCTAGGGTAAACACAGCCTTTAATACCAGCCACATTTTGACTTTCAGCTTGAATATCAATGTATGGTCAAGCCATTCAGGAAGATGTAGAAATTATATGTCTTTTAACAGTTGAAAGTCTCACAAAGGTTCTGAAGGTACTAGTATGAAGGAATCTTAAACCATTACTAATGCTGTATTCTTAATGAAAGAGGCATTAGCTAGTTTGCCAAGGCCCAGTATAGTGCAACCCATATTTGACAAGAGGTAGTGAAGCATTGTTCAGGACCTCCTCCTGAAGGCAGTGAAATTTTGGATCAAGAAAAACCTATGAATGATGAGCTTTTGTGTAACTAAAATATGAATATGAACTTGTTTGCACTAATATGTGATAGGACATTTTATGAGATGCTCTTCAGGGAGGTTCTTGTATGCCAGAAGTGGTCATCAGAAAGAACAATAAAGATAAATTGGAGGTTTTGAGACTGTAAGACAAAGTCATAAAGAAGGGGAACCATTTTTTAGAACAAGAGTGAGATGTTCCAAGGAAACTAATGAACAGTTGAATCTTTTCATATGAAAATTACCTGTTTAAAACTTGCATAATTTTTGAAGAATTGTATAAAGAGGTAGTATGAAGAATCACAAAAAAACCATCTTAAGTCAAACTTTTAAGTCATCAGTTATCAATTACTAGTATTACTAGACATCTAACAACCTACCTGCAGAGAAAGCTTGGACAATTTACTTGCACTTACAAAGAAGTGCTTTAAGAGTATTATGTTTTAAAGACTGTAATGAGTTAATGTCAGAAAGTAATCACCAAGGTTGTGGTACTTCAACACCCTTACTGGACTCAATATAGAAGTGGTTGGGTTTCTTCCCCAAAGCTTTAAGACAGAGGGGATAAAGTCATTAAATAATGCTGCGTATATTCATGTTTTTGATAAAGCTTCAAGATGTGATTTCAATGACTCTGAGAACATTTACATCCAAGATTTGAACTAACAGTTCACCACTGTACGTTGCTTCACTGTCACCCTCATTTTCACTACCATAAAGAGTAATATGGATGTCCTTATCATCCCTGAAAATCATCTCAGGGATCTAAATAAAATTATGTAGTCTTTCATTATTGTATTTTAAGTGATGGAAACTCTCATTATTCCTTTTATTTAGTGTACTATTGTTATTTTTGCATATAAAGGATTTATGAGATATTTGAAATGTTCACTTTTGACCTCATTTCTGATGTTCATGTTTTTCTCTCCCATCTCCAAAATTTCCTCAGTTAAACTTTGAAAACTTCAGGTTTGTCTAAGAACCTGACCTTCATGGGTGAGCAAAGACTGTTGTTTCTCTGTCCCCACTTCTTAAATGGCTGTTTGATACTATCACAGTCAGTTTTGAATTAATACAATGTGTTCTGGAGGCCTGGATTCATATAGATCTCTGGCAGTAATGACTGTGGCTTTGGGCCAGTCATGTAGCTTCACTGAGCCTGAATTTTTATTGTTTGTTAAATGAGACTGGTAAGGTTTGCCATGCCTTACCAAACCTTTGTGATAACCTAAGGTAATCATAGTTACATGAGTGTTACAAATGTAAATTAACTACTGCTAAATAATTTTGAGCTATTATTATGTTTGTGGCATTTAATAACTTCCACAAACCAGAAACTAGGTTGTTGAATTTATACCTTTATAAAGTAGCTTTTGATGTGACTGGAATCTGTATGTCAATTATAGAATAAGAGAAAAGAAAATTTTCTTATACTTGTACAAACCAAAGGTAACTAGGGTGATATTTTTCCTCATAGACCCTCCTTTTCTCATCATATCATCAGAATTATTCATCAATGTCAACATGTAAAATAATAATAAGCATTTAGAAAATAAAAAAACACTCATAATCACAAATCCCAGAAAACATTTCTTTCTAGATTCTCTCTAAGTGTATGTGTGTGTGTATTACTTCTTTATATCTTTACACAGTTAATATCATACTGTATATAGCTTTGTATTCTGTATTTTTTACTTATATCAAGAATATTTGCTTCCATTTAAAAGTCTTTATAAGTGTCCTTTTAATAGTGTGTAATATGTCAACATAAGATGACATCAAGCTTAATTTAACCATTTTTCCTTTTTTTTTTCTTTCTGGATATCTTTGATCTTTCCTTAATTTTTTCCATTATAAATAACATCTTCATTACTTAATAGAAAATAGTTGGTTCGGTCTTCATACTGGGAAATTTGAAATCTGAAAATTTCTGTTTGTGTAGAAAACATCTGTTGGTTGGTTGTTTTTTAAGAAGCCTCTTTAATAGCTAAATTTCATTGACCAAATGGAACAAGAGACATGTAGGAGAAAAAAAAAATACGGAGTAGATTTTATTTCGAGGTTGAGGACCTGTCATTGTTGGAGACCGTTCTAGGAACTGAGTCTTGGTGTTAAGACAATGTAGAAGGTACAGTTTGGCACCATTTTATGAGAGTGTACTATACAAAATTTGAAGGATTTAGACCAGGAGAAGGAAATAGTAAATAAGTGGTTTAATTTTATTTTCTAGACACTGTGAAGTGTGAGGCAGATTAGGTTTGTCTCTCATTGACTCCTACAAAGCTTGGAGCCAAATGTGTTGTTTATGCATAGCAGTTATAATGAGACTTCTTGGTATGTGTCTACTTTGTACCAGCTGTGTTCCAGGCTTCATTTTATGTTCTCAACTTTATTTTTGTATTTTTCCCTTTTATATCCGTATCTGTTCTGAATACATGGTTTCATGTTGTGTTTTATGTATTCTTGTGTGTCAGCTGGCATCCGTTTTGGATAAGGTGGTGAATAAGTACATGGATGAATAAGTAAATTCATTAATAAATATATAACTATAAATAAACCAGTAAGGAGAAAGCAATGAGGCAAATAAATGCAGCAAGGATTCTGAAAATGACATAGTACTCCCCAAAGTAATCAATGTTAAGGAGTTAAAGCTGGAAGAAGATGTGATAAAGAAGCAGGTGAGGCTACACTTGGAGTTTGCCTGTTCTATGTGACATCTGTTTCTCAAGTACTGGTGTGTTTTATGTCTCATACTGCTCTTGAGCCTCAGGTATGTTTTGCAGAATGTGTAGTGTTGTATGAAGTGCTGTGTCTTTAGAGAACACAGTTCATATGTATTTTGCTTGTGAGGAAATCTGGAGAGTTTTGTGGCTTAGTGATCTGGGAAACCATATGATGGCCCCTTTGCTTGGAGGTGTAGGAGGAAATAATCTGATAGAAATAAAATTGTGGCATATAGAAAATGATCACTCATTTGCTGATTGCTTCCTGGATGCCAGTCTGTGACTCAGGCACCATGTATATGAATTCCTTGTCCTAGCCCCTTTTGCAGCCATAACAGTATAAG